CGACCCTCAGATTGCGAGTCGAGCGCCCTAACCACATGTCCATGCCGAGCCTTGCGAAAAAGATAGCCCACTGTGTAGTTTGTACTATAAATAAACGTGTTTTTTTAAACCTTTATTTTTACAAAGAGAACTCTAAACAGCGTTTTGTTAAATGTTTGCGAGTTTGCTAAATGTTGTAGTATGGTTAGTATGTAAGAATATTTACTAAAACTAGATCATTTTATATCAATGTACTTTATCTTTCTTGTAAAATACAAGAGGACTAACTAAACAGCACCACCATATTTTATTTCATTTTTCACATTTACATAGTAATATTGTAGTTAATATTGGAAAAATGGTCATTGAACCACAGTACTGTCAATTACAAAAATACAAAAACAAATCATACAAAACAATCTAGAAAAATCACAGACGGATTGATCACAGTCTTTAGATTTAGATGTAATATTGATTATTTTCGATGCGTGGCATGAAATGTAATACAGGCCATCAGTTACACCCGAAGTACATAATGCCTACTTGAAATATTATTATATTATTAGGCAGCCAAAACATCACGTACGTGAATGAATGAATAACGGGTACCTTTCTCCAGGAAAGTGCATTATAATTAATACAGTTCAACATTGTACCGATTCCTAAATTTAATTCCAAATTATAAATCACTGAAATGAGAGATGAATGCTAATCTATTGTTTTTAAAGGGTTTTTTTTTCGTCTCTAGCTTCATTCTTAACACTCTGAACCACCAACTTTGTGGTTTTGCGACAAACTTTTCGCAAGTAATTGATTTAAAGTATATCGCTCGGCTACCAATTTGGGTATTTGGCATTCTTTTTAAACCTGTCAAGCAGGTTCTTATCAATTCAAACATAATATTAGGAGTATGTGTCCCCTATAGGATCAGTGTTCAAAATGTAAAATAACGGCAGAGTGGTGGAATGACTTTTGGAAGTAGGAACATAAAAAAATAAACAAGGATTGGATCTGTTACAGAGTTTGAGGCCATGATATTTTGAAATAGCTGTTTACTATTTATAAAAAAAATATTTGCTTCCCAACTTTTGCAGTTTGCGTCTCAACAGTATACGAGTTTTTACTGGAATTTTCAGGTCAACAAGATCTGTAAATCCTTCTTTTTTTTTGGGGGGGGGGGGATTACTACTATTTATGAAATATCGCGACTTGATATGATAAACGAATGTGGTTGTTTATATTACTGTCTTGTCTGTTATTACCTCTCTGAACAGACTATACACCATACTGTATACTATAATTTTGAGAAATGCTTTTCTGATTATTGTACTTTTCATTTCGATTCTGAACACTGTCCAACTCCCAAGTAATCCGCCATTAATGTCGTAACAAATTTTTGATTTATATATATATATATATTTTTACATTATAACATATATCTTTATTGTTACAGAAGAAATTATTTTCTGATGGGATCTAAAGGACTGCAGAGTATCGTATCTAAATGGCTCGTTGAATTCATTTTAAACATTTTATCTTACATTAAAATATTTAATACTCAAAATGTTTCTATTATATCTTCAATTAATTTATTGAAGAGTCAATATGCATCAACCACTGTAGCCTCGAGACACTTGTTGGCGTACACCATTAGAATGCAGACTTAGTTGACCACCACTGTTTTCGTTATTAAACCTTTGAGGAGCTAACTGGTCACTCGTATATCTTCCACTAGATCCCTGTCGAGTATCACCACGTTCTCCTACAGAGCCGTGCAAAGTCTGTTGACCACCAATAGTACCTTGAGTAACTGATTGATCATTATTAAATCCTCCACTCGTACCTTGATGAACTGGCTGTCCACCATTATACCCCCCACTAGAGCCTTGAGGAACAGTTTGGCCACCATTATACCCACCACTAGAGCCTTGAGGAACAGTTTGGCCACCATTATACCCCCCACTAGAGCCTTGAGGAACAGTTTGGCCACCATTATACCAACCACTAGAGCCTTGAGGAACAGGTTGGCCACCATTATACCCACCACTAGAGCCTTGAGGAACAGGTTGGCCACCATTATACCCACCACTAGAGCCTTGAGGAACAGGTTGGCCACCATTATACCCCACTAGAGCCTTGAGGAACAGTTTGACCACCATTATACCCACCACTAGAGCCTTGAGGAACAGGTTGGCCACCATTATATCTTCCACTAGTACCTTGACTAACTGACTGGCCACCATTATACCCACCACTAGAGCCTTGAGGAACTGGTTGGCCACCATTATATCTTCCACTAGTACCTTGACTAACTGACTGGCCACCATTATATCTTCCACCAGTACCTTGACTAATTGGCTGGCCACCATTATGCACTACATTAGAGCCTTGAGTAATTGGTTGACCACCATTATACCCACCACTAGAGCCTTGAGGAACTGGTTGGCCACCATTATATCTTCCACTAGTATCTTGACTGACTAACTGGCCACCATTATAAACTACATTAGATCCTTGAGGAACTGGTTGGCCACCATCATATCTTATAGTAGAATCTGGAGGAGCTGGTTGAGAGTTATGATACACCCCATTAAAGCCTTGAGGAACTGGTTGGTCAGCAAAATATTTCCTGTCTGGACCTTTAGAAACTGGTTTAGCATCACTAAACGTACCTTTAGGAAGTTGTCCACTATTATACGCCTGTTTAGGGCTTTGCAAAACTGACTTTGCACCACCATATCCATTATTGTGTATTTTAGGCATGTTAGTATCTTTAAGATTAGGGACTTTCTTAAGGTGTGGTTCAATGTGGCTAATAGATGTTGAACTAGAGTAATGGTTTACTCTTCCTTCATGAGGATCATGAGAAAAGGCTTTCCTGTAAGCAGGAGGAGTATATGGAGCAGGTAGTCCCTTATAGATTGCTACCGTTCCTCCGTGACCTTTATTGTGCCCATATCCTTTCTTCTTTCCACCTGCTGAAAAGGTTAGGGTAAGACCTTTTGATAAACCAAATCCAGAAGTGAGACCTATGCCTTTATTGATGCCACCAAGGCTACCAAATGCGCCTAATGATCCCAGTCCTAGTCCAAGTCCTCCAAGACCAGTAAATGGATCATCATCTTCGATGTGATATCCAGCATTTCCTCTAAGGGGGTTAAGGGAAGGCCCAGTGATACTCAAGTAGTTCGGCCTTCCAACAGAAATGGAAGGATATCCTCCAGTATACTTGGGTTTCTTAATTACAATATGTTTTGGATATTTGTGTCCATAATTAGTAACACTAACTATTGGCTTATACCGCGACCTTGGGAGTCCAAATGGAACATTGGCATGTCCCCCAAACTCAGAAAAGGTTCCTTTGAAATGTTTTTGGCCACGATTATTATAAATACCTTTGCCTATTCCAGGGGGTATGAATACATTTGGTTTTTGATAAATTGGTGCTGTGGATGCTTGTGGGTAGCCCGAATGTTCATAACTTCCGAGTTCATGATTCTTATGCTGTTTTACAGACTTCAAGCCTGTCGAAGGTAAGCCACCCTGATAATTTCTCCCAAATTTATTATTTTGCACATAATCTGGTGAATTTCGGTTTCCTTGGTTACTCACTATCTGGTGCTGTTCATTAGAATTTTGTGTATAAGTGTGCCCCTTATTAACACTAGGTGAAAAATTCTGAAAATCCTTCTGAGGATTAGGAGCATTTGGTGTCACCAGTTTATTCGGATTTTGTAGACCAGATGCGATATCATGGAAGCTAGAAATATGACTTCCCTGACCTTCTGCATATTTTAAGTCATTTCTGAGGTTTTGGTGAATTGTTACTGGCTGCTGGTTTTTTTCATTTGCAGTCTTCAGGTCATCAGGTTTATCATAAGACAAGATTAAAACTTCTTTTTGATTAAGTCTCGCTTGACTATTAGATTTCTTTCCACCAAAAGCTCCTTGATTGTTCGCGTGAAAACGAGTATGTTTGGTTTCTTCAAAAAAAGTGGGACTTTCTGGTTTAACCTCCTTTCCAAGCGTTTCTTCAGTTTGGATATAATCCTCTGGTATTCCAATCTTTTTAACATGGTCTTCTGCAGCTGATTTCAACACAGTCAAGGCTTCAATTGGAATACCTATCACGAGCATGGATTTATTGTTATTGTGAACTATACGCCGATGTTCAAGGATGTCAGTTTGTTTTTCAAGAAATCTGCTAACAGCAAGGTCATTCTTACCTCTGGTTTCACTCCCCTTAAGATCTGTTAAATTTTGACCACTTTTGTATTCTCTTGTGTTGTTTTTTGAGTTATAGGGTCTCACTAGCCCATAGCTCTGCTTAGTTTTAGATATAAGAGTTCGGGCAATATTTGCAGCAGCCTTTTCTAGGATACTGAGTCCATCTTTGCGATCGCCGACCTTATCGTTTAAAATGGTTTCTTTTTCTTCACTGTTATTTGTAATGTTTTCGGGACGGTCAGCAATGTGCGATCTTTGTAACTGAACTTGTCCGACAAAAATCATCAAGAAAATCAGAATCTGGATTCTCTGAAAATATAACAGAAAAATCATTTATCAATACCAATTAAAATAAACAAAAATTATAAACTGTTCTTGTAAGATTACATTCAAACATACAATGGCAAAATTCAAAATTTTTTTCTATACCAGATTCTTAGTTTATAAATTCTTCTATTTCCTTACATCACCAGAAATGGTTTCTTGATTAAGAGTCACATGACTGTTTGTTTTTGAATTTCGCGCAAAGCTACACGAGGGCTAACTGCGCTAGCCGTCCCTAATTTAGCAGTGTAAGACTAGAGGGAAGGCAACTAGTCATCACCACCCACCGCCAACTCTTGGACTACTCTTTTAGTGGGATTGAGAGTCACATTATGACGCCCCCACGGCTGAAAGGGCGAGCATGTTTGGTGGGACATGAAACCCTGAGTTTGTTTTCTAGGCCTTAAGGATTACAAATAACTTTATAGGAACCCCAAGATCATTTTTGTGCTTGTAAGTAGTTTAATTGTATGAAAATATTATAAGGAATTAGTTAATGTAGCTTAGAAACCTCATGATTGCCATAAAAGGGCTTCGAATTGCCAAATCAGAATAGATTAAACCATAAAAACATTATGATATTGAAAAGAAAAGTTGGTGACAACATCTTTAGACCTTCTCAGACTTTGATATTATGAAAAGTCTAATGTCCATTAACAATAACTAGTCTTTTTGGAATCATGATTATAATATAATAATATCACAAAAGCCATGTTGCCTTTCATATTTCCTAGTAGTAAGTCTATCATTTATTATTTTCGATTTTTGTCTTTTTTTTCAGTTTTATATTTTTATTGTTTATGGAATTTAGTTTGTTTGTTTGTTTTAGGCCCGGCATGGCCAGGTGGTTAGGGCATTCGAGTCGCAATCTGAGGGTCGCAGGTTCGAATCCCCGCCCCACCAAACATGCTCGCCCTTTCGGCCGTGGGAGCGTTATAATGAGACGGTCAATCCCACTATTTGTTGGTAAAAGAGAAGTCCAAGAGTTGGCGGTGGGTGGTTATGACTAGCTGCCTTCCTTCTAGTCTTACACTGCTAAATTAGGGATGGCTAGCGCAGATAGCCCTCGTGTAGCTTTGCGCAAAATTCCAAACAATCAATCAATTGTTTGGAGATTGGGCTATCTGCTGTGTCCACAGCAGGGAATCGGACCCCGAATTTTAGCATTGTAAGCATAGTAACAAAACAAAACAATTGAAGGGCAACTCATCGTAAACAAGAATAAAAAATAATACAAACACACACACACACACACACAAATACATTTTTAGTCCCATTCCGAAACAAATTCTCCCAGAAAAGTGCATTTGTACTTAATCTCACAAAGAAGGAATATCTTGTGACTTTGTGAAGCTTGTTTTCAGTTTTTTAATTTCGACATTAAAAGATTCGATTAATGGCAACTTGTAACTTCTAGGAGTTGTTTGAACAAAAAATTGGGCTATTATTCTTATTGTTAATCATCACAATGTTGGTTTGGTTACGGAATTATTCGGAAACTTGTGAATCTAAAGACTTAATCCGCTGTTTACCTTGGTGACGAAAAATAATCAGGCCAATAAAGTAGTATTTTTACTGCTCAAACCACCTAGTTCACTATCATGTTTTGATGTATACAAAATAAACAAACAGATGATAATAATTTTTGAAAAACTCTAAACAGGGGTGAATTCCTAACAATTATAATAGTTATATATATATAAATATATATGCACTTACATATATATTGTAAAATGGTAGGGCGTGGCCAAGCGGTTAGCGTGCCAAGCTACAATTGGAAGATACAATATTTGAACTGGGATATGCCGCTGGACGCGCTCCAGACTTTCAGTTGTGACAGTAAATCCCACTATTTGGTCAAGAGTTGGCCCATAGGTGAAACGTGCTACTGACCGATTTTTCTCCCTATGGTGAGCAATTCGGAATTAGGGTTAGCTATAACCGAATCCAAAGAACGCAGAATTTTATTGTCACGCCTGAGAAACAATTTGTTTGTCTAGGAGTCAGTGTTGAATTCAGGGGGTGTACAGGGGAAGTTCCCCTTGTGCAAAAATACCTCCTGAAATACAGTATTTTCCATTTTTTCGAATTTTCATTTTAATTCATCACCCAGCTTTATATCCCCCCACCCCCCACCGTTGGAAAGGTCTGGATTTAACACAGCTAGGAGTTCTTCAGTAAATCCCCTAGGTTAACATGAATATTTTTAGAAAATGTGAACACAGTGATCTAATTTAAATTTAAAGTTAAACGTTTTGGTGGCAATTGTCTTTTTTTCAAAATGTAACCGAAGACGACAGCACTCGTCAACTACTGAAACGTTTATTTTTAAATTTGTATCTTCAACCTAAAATCTTAAATCACAGTTTATTAATTAAAATAATTACCTAAGACTTCTTATGCATGGTTTGTTTGTAATTAAGCACAAAGCTACACAATGAGCTATATATGTGCTCTGCCCACCACGGGTATCGAAACCCGGATTCTAGCGTTGTAAGTCCGCAGACATACCGCTGTGCTACTGGGGGGAGGTGGCCTTATTTGCTTAGAATTAAGCACAAAGCTACACAATGAGCTATATATGTGCTCTGCCCACCACGGGTATCGAAACCCGGATTCTAGCGTTGTAAGTCCGCAGACATGCCGCTGTGCCACTGTTTTATGCATGGTACAAAAATGGTTTATTGATATGCAAAAGGTGATTTCAAAATAGAGCTATAGATGCGTTACATTTCAGTAACAGCATCTGCGCGCGAAAAATTTCAAATCTCTGTTTCACAAACATCGCTTGCCATCAGGTATATCTAGAAGCATGAGGGCGGAGAGTGTTTTAATGGTTAGCGTGCGAAACAACATATCTACAAAAAAAAATCGCTTTCTTCATCCACCGCCAACTCTTGAGTTACTCTTTTAACAACGAATAGTGGGATTAACTGTTACATTATAATACCCCCCCCCACGGCTGAAAGAGCGAACATGATCGGTGACGGGGATTCGAGCCCACGACCCTCAGGTTGCGAGTCGAGCGCCTTAATCACCAGGCCATTATAGGCTTGTTTGCTTGTTTGTTTGTAATAAAGCACAAAGCTACACAATGGGCTATCTGTGCTCTGCCCACCAAGAAACCCGGATTCTAGCGTTGTAAGTCCGCAGACATACCAATGTGCCACTGGGGGGGGGGGGCGCCATTATAGGAAAAGATTTGTTTGTTCATATCGAATTAAACACAACTGAGAATTATCTTGTTACGCGATTAACGACAACCAATAACATTCCATAACTGTGTACTTTATGAAACCTATGCGATTGTTGTTAGAATAATCTGGAAAAAAAAAAGATAAGATAAAAGATTTTTTGTTGATTTATAAAACTGAAAAAAAAGTTCTAAGTTTGTAAAACCTAGAATCACCAGTAGGAACCCCATTTGGGTGTTTAAACATTTTTTCTAAACAATTCATGCACCAAATCGCTTGAAAATCGATTACGTTTTTGATTACGAAGTCCCTAATAATATATCCGTCACACAAAAAATTTAAAAATGCCATTAGTATTGCGGCCAATTCCATTAAGTACTGCTGTATCATACAAAAATAAATAAATTAGAAATTTCCCCCAAATTATATAATCAGTTCTATTTAAAATAATAAGAGATAATATGATACTATGACATAATTAAACTACCCTATTCTTAAACAATTTCTATTATTAATATTATATAATCATTAGACATCAGCCATTTCATGCGTAGAATTTTGTAAATAGGTTTTAATAGAACCTTTTATCAAATAAAATCTATTTTAATATTTAAATATATTTAGTGCTAACAGCTGCCCCCCCCCCCCAGTGGCACAGCGGAATGTCTGCGGACTTAAAACTCTAGGAACCGGGTCTCGATACCCTTGGTGGGCAGAGCACAGATAGCCCATTGTGTAGCTTGGTGCCTAACTTCAAACACACAAACAAGCTAACAGCTGCTTTTAAAGGGAAGGCGGGGAGGAAGGGGGGAGGTTGAGAGCTTACCACTCATATCACTGGGTGTTATATCCAAATATACACCTCACCAAATAAATTTTGTTAAAACGTATGTTGAGTTAGTTTAGCAAAGTGATTTTAATATATAAAAATCTAACTTACCTTCATGGCCGCGATCTAATTGAGCTGATAAAGACTCAAGATCAAACACACACATCAAACACTCCGGATAAAGTTCGAACAGATAAACGAATATCTAGTTAGCCAGTTTGTTACAAAACAACAGTGTCTACGATTCGACAAAGAACACGAGTTGATATATTGAAGATTCCAGTGGCATATTGGCGTGTAGTCTAAACAGCACGTGGTTTTGTAAGTATGGCAATTTTTTTTATCGAAATGAAATTTAAATCTGTCCTACATTTCTGTTCACTACGAGAACGAAGACAAGTCTGACAAAACTGAAAGAAAAAAAATCTGGTTTCTGTAAGAAAGACGACACTGGTAGAACAGGTACAATATTATCCCCATTTGTGGCGGTTCTTAAACTCCGTGGGCCTTTTCTACCTGGCCACATTAAAAACAAAGACGAATATAACAAAAAAAAACATGCTCTTAATAACGTCTACGTTTCGTATTTATTTACCTGTATTTCCTCAGTAATCACACAGAACACGATGGTTAATTAAACTACATTGTATTATATCAGCTCGTGGCCTATAATCTGCCATTGAACTCGTACTCCAGTTCTGGGGAAGAATGGGGGTGAGGGGGTATTTATATGCACGAGTTGCGCGTGCCCTTGATATTGTCGCTAGAAAACTAGAACTGGAACACTTTGTTGCATATATTTCATTCAAAATGTAGGGCTTACGGTGAATGGACATCTTAAGACACAATTGAATAATACTTATTGAGCATTTTTATTATTCCAGTATTTGACTTGCTCAAAATATTAGGGCGATGTCTCTTTATCTGCTTTCTTGTTATGCAATTCAGTTAGCCGTACAGATACAACGAACTCTACCTGGCCTTAACCGTTGATATTATTAAAGACTGATATAACGAACTTTACCTGGCCTTAACCGTTGATATTATTAAAGATTGATACAACGAACTTTACCTGGCCTTAACTGTTGATATTATTAAAGATTGATACAACGAACTTTACCTGGCCTTAACCGCTGATATTTTTAAAGATTGATACAACGAACTTTACCTGGCCTTAACTGTTGATATTATTAAAGATTGATACAACGAACTTTACCTGGCCTTAACCGTTGATATTATTAAAGATTGATACAACGAACTTTACCTGGCCTTAACTGTTGATATTATTAAAGGTTGATACAACGAACTTTACCTGGCCTTAACTGTTGATATT